TTATGAAATATTTTTTTAGTTATTATTTGTAAATCTGAATAAACATGTGTAAAAAATATCTCACATTCACTATTATTCGAAATAAAAAATTCTCAATCTGTGTATATATACACTTATAAGTGTAGTGAAATCGTCCGATCTACAACCAAGTTTCAAAAAATTGATTTTTGTAAAAATGACAATTTTGGAAAAAATTTGATTTTTTCGCTTTTTCCCAAACTTCTTTAACGGAAAAATTGAAGAGTTGGAATTTTTATTTGATTGTAGGTCGAAAGAGAAAAATGTTGTGAAAATCTCCTAAAAATTTGATTCAATCGGATTAAAACTACACGAGTTTTCGTGGCAATAGTGAGCTGGTGTTTTTTTGACATGCTCATACTGATTTACAATACAATAGCCGAAAAATCTTTTGTTGAAAAAATTTATAAAAAAACATTTAAATGTCAAAGAATAAATGTACCAAATTTCAAGTTTATAACTTTTATATTTTTTCTAGTGTTAAAGGCGAAAATATTTCTCCTGATAGAAAATACGGTGTATATTTTTAATGTGTAATACACATATAGTGTAAATAGTTGTTTCACTAACTCTTTTTGAATACGAGATACAAAATTACGAAAATGAATGAATTGTTAAATAAGACAAACTGAACAACGAATTTAAATCTAATAGATGTAATTAAATTAGAAATTAATCATCAAATGACTGAATTGGAATAGAATAAGTTGAAATAGATTAGATAAATGTAAGTGATAAAGATAGAAAAGAAAGGAAATAGAAAAATTCTATAAGAAAAAAAATACGTCTGTAAAAAAATTCTATGGGAATTGCGATAGAAAAATCAATAAAGAATATAAGGGAAAATGGGACAAGTGAATATAAAAAGAGTATAAGCGATCTAAAGCTACAGAATAGAGATTTGAGAATAAAAGCGAAGCATTGTATTGCGATGCAGTAGCGCAAATCATAGACGATCGTCGAAAACTCGAAACCTCGTTCGTACGTTAATAGGAGTGCAATTCGCGAGCCTGATATGTATAAGATTTCATTCGGATTACGATTTCGATCCTGTGGACTCACAATAAATAACGAGATGACTAATGACTGAATAATCTGTATTTTACAACACTGGATTTATCTGACCCATTTTTACCTTATACGTTAATTTTTATTGTAATCTCCATAATATTCTGTACACACAATATATCTCTATCTTCTCCGTAAATTCGCGTCTGTTATTGCCAATTGTCAACTGAGAATAAACCGTTCTTTTGGGACTATTTCCTAAGAAACTGAAAGACGTATTAAAGACATCGCCAAGCGTTCGCTGGTCGCAAACGCACGAGTGCATTCATCCGCTTGAATATCCAACCTAACCGTGCCTGGCGTAAAAATCGCCACTGGCGTTATGTCGGGTCAACGGCGTAAGGCGAAAGATACGCGATGAAGGAGCTCGAGGCACAAAACACATACGGACGACACGAGAAATAAAGAATGCGATAGAAGAACGCGATAGAGGATCGACAAAAGTTCGAGGAACGACGAAAAGAACGAAAGAAGCGTAAGAACCGGGATGACGAAGAATAAGACCGAAGTACAGTGTTAGTAGGTAGGTATGGCCTGGGTGAAACGGCGAATAGCGCCTTGTGAGCGTGGGTGGCCGGGGGGGGGGGGGTGAGACGAAAGGGTGAGTGTTCGCACGAGGGGGAAGCGAAGGGGGAGAGCTGGTGGATTTTGCGAGAGTCGCGCGAAGGGGCCGGGGGTGGCGCCGCGGGCCGCGCCGTCGCCCAGCATCCCTCGTTTCCACCCGCCCACTCTTGTAAAGGCGCACCCTCACGCCGAGAGTATCTGGTAGTCATACGCTGGCCCGTTGCGAGCCCGCTGATGTAGCTGCCGCTGTTCTAGCTTTCAGTGATTTGCGTCCACGATTATATGCATTACGCAGTATACGATCGCGTGTGCCGATCCGATCGTAGTGTACGAAGAATCCGATGGTAGATCTTGTTTTCGTCGTCGCTCAACGTTTATTCGTCGTAAAACAAATGTGAGAGGCTTGTCAATTTTCGTGATTGTTTTCTTCAAAGAGGGTGCATCCTCTTGTCAAGATAACAATACAGTTGAAGTGATTATATCTAATAGTCGTCAAGACTGAAACGCGTTTCGGTTTGTCTCAATGCTACAATAGCTGTCGGGTTTGCTCACATGGTCCATGTTTTGTTTCTGTGATTACCTCGCCGTGGCTCCCTCTCGACCGCTTCCGCACACGACAACGAGCTGCCATCGTGTCTAAAGCGCGCGCTTTAGCGACCTCGTGTGCGAGGCCAGCGTGTACGACGCGGGTAGATTCTGCTGACGCGAGATGTTCGGACAACGGCGGTGCTTTCAGTGAGATGCTTGCCGATAGACGTGGCCGCAGTAGCTGTAGGATCATTGACACGGTCTCTGAACCTCTGATCAACGACCTGGCTGTCAATTACAGTGAGACCGCGTTAACGTCCAGCGTCTCGAGAGACTTTCATTCGGATGAAATCGTGTGATTGACATTATCCCGAACGATCGAATCGTTGCAGTAGTATCGAGGACCAGTATTGTACTTCGTATTGCATTCTCTCCATTATTTCCTCTGTCTCTGCTTCTAGCCACGAAGCAGAATATTCGTTATCAGAAATGCAACGTCATTGGCGTTAAACCAATCGACGTTCACCGTTACATTCAGGCATGTAAAGTTTATTTAACGGCTTCATGATCGTTTAGGACGTGAAGCGTTTCGTGTGGAGGAACTGTAGTAGAATAGAAACTGAGAGATTCAGAGAAAAAAAGACTTCACACTGTTTTAAACAAGAGATCCTTTACTCCTCGGGGAAGATCGGCGTTACGTTTTTTATAAGATCGCTCAAGACGCTCAAAAACTTAGTGAAATTGAACGGAGAAATGGATACGTTTTTGATTATCGGCATCTGCTTCTTCTGCTATGAGATGTGCGATTTAATCAGACGGTATACCTCCCCGCAAGCGATAGAGACGCATCGCCCGGCGGAAACGGTCACCAAAGCTCGGCCCCGGCAGAAGATATATTCGATTTCTCGCAAGATCCAAGGACCCCGCGCCTGTTGCCCGCAATAGATCGTCGCGCGTTTGATTCCGGTACGGATATATAATTCTATCTGATGCCATCGCTTATCATTTGTTAGTGTGAGAAAGCGAGCCGCTTTGTATGGGCTACGACGAAGGATCTTCGCTGAACCTCAAGCGGATATAGAACTGCGCCGGGCCGAACCGGAGCAAATGGATGGCCATGCGAGATGGATTTACAGTTCCGCGCAGTGATAACAGACGCCCGTCTCGGAGATTCATGATGTTTACGGAGGTTCGAGGTAGCGACGCGATCGATAATGATTTGTCAGCTGTTACGCCACCTGGAACGCAGACCAGCGGATCGATCAGTTCTTAGATGATGAGTTCGTAGATGTGATACGACCAAGAACGATAATTCGCGATTATAGTGTCGGTGAACGTATCGCTTCATTCAGCTAAATGTTTTTGAAGGGGATAAGATTGTGACTCGATAGATAACGATGGATAGAATCCATCGAACGGTCTCACCCGTAGACAACAAAATGATTTTCCGACCAGGCTTGTTTTTTAGAATTATTACTGATATTTTTGTATTCAATATTCGCGTATTTATGCGATTCGAGTAGTGACAACGCGCGTTCACTCGATTTGTCTGCGAATGTATAAAACCGATGATAACAAGTTTCACTTAAGCGGTACTAGTCGCTGCAGTGTCTACGGTGCTGTTGACGCAAAACATGAAAAGCAAGAGATAGATTGTCGTTAGGCTTTTGAGAGTAAGTGATATCGATTGAGACGTTACGGTGAATAGCTTGCTCTACGAAAGTGAGGGAAAAACAAACTCGCTTGACGAACTCTTCAGTACGTGTCTGTGAATGCAAACTTTAGCGCTGGACGCCGAACATCGTCGATGCACCAAACCGCATCATATAAACAAGAAGTGAAGTTTCTTTTGTGTACATCAGTTAAACGTGGTCGTGAATAGTGATGCATTATTCCTTCGAATACAGCACGCATCGTGCCGGTATACGTTCAAAGGAAGACGAAGAAGAGTAGTAACATCGTTTATACGTCGTGATTGTATATGTTCACTGCCCGTAACTCAAACTTAACGCCCGCGGTCGTATCGAAAAGTTTCTGTAGGAAGTAACTTCACGGTTGGTGCAACGTCAAAATGTTTTGATGCAAAAATGTTTTGTTGCGATCAGAAGAGAAGAGGGAAAGATTGATATAACTCAAAGTGTGTTAACAAGGAAAATTAGACTGCAACGCTGTTTATATTTTGCAGTTACCTGCAAAGGTCCAATTTACCTTTAACAAAAGCGCGTTAGATAAATAAAATAAATAAAATATGCTCACAGCTGCATTGCCAGTGAAATTTCTCTCCGGAACAAAAGTGATACTCATACTGTTTTTTAGTTACACGCTTAACAAAAAAGATTTAACAACATCAAGTAAAAGCACCGTAAATTAAATTGCTACGATGTGTTTTTTAATGCCATATATTTCTAATGCCCATGTAATTCACGATGCACGGATCAAAACGCTTTCCAACCGATTGTGAGTGTTTCTGATCAATCAAAGTGAGATTTCTCGTGCCTGAAGATTTAGCACGAGGGCGCGAAGATTCGTTTATCAAAAACGAAGAAGAGGAGGGCCATGACAAATGTTCGATACCAGCTACAAAGTTCGGTGTCCCAACGCCACGACGCTCTCATGACCCCTTTTTGGCCGATAGCCCGAGAGAGATTGAAACGAGAAATTATCGAAAATTAGAAGAGATGGACTCGCTGGAGCGTCTAATGAGTTCCCGTTCTCACCATCCGGCTCTCACGGCAGCCACGCGATCGCAGAATGCCTTTGTACAGGCTAATCTCTGCTCCGTGATAGGCCGCAAAGGCCGACACCTCAACGGAACTTTTTGTTTAACTGGGGATACGATGGAAGGCATCATACAGTGCCTGGTCTTCCTCAAAGCTTTTTCGGTAAGGAATTCGTATCCGTTGTCTTTTCTATGCTCATGCATTTGCTCGTATTCACTGAATTATTGATTTAATCTTATATTATTGTATAATACTGTATAATATTATTGTATAATATTGTATAATGAGAGAGAGAGAGAGAGAGAAGAAATCTTCTCCTACACATACTATGCTACTTTTGTGATTTATATATCAGAATCTTAGAAAAGAATAATACATGATATCTGTATAAAACATACATGATATGTATATAAAGAAAGGAATATAATTGCAATATATCCACGAAATTTAGGATAATGTTAATTACATGTGCGATATACTGATTATCTTTTACCACAGAGTTAAGTAAGAACGAATGACTGTTAAAATGGCTAACGTAAAAACGACCCTTCTTACACTGATACTAACGACAATGAGTTATTTCGGCAGTTAATTCCCGTATGTTATCTCATTAGACACGTTTAAAGAACACCATGATTCATTTGTCGCGCGCCGAAAGAGATTTAGATATCTTTATCACGTGTCGGCAGTGTTAACTGGCAATTAAGACTTTTTTGCTTTCGCTAATCTTCTTTTTTACTTCAGAGATGCCTTTGTTTCGCATTCGCGCTGCACTTAGAAGATTGCTTTCTTTTTGGTACAGTAAATTGAGGTGCACTTTGTAGTCCATTTCATTTTCCATATATGCAACTGTAGTAATGTAGCATATGCATATTGCGCGTTTATATAAGTATGCCCGCGAGGGTATAAAAGCGGGAGACTATTTCGAAAGTTCTTACGATGCGATTTGCTCTCCATCGTTGAAACGAGGAGACAATAAGTAGTTAATAGCATTTAATAAAATATTATGGTAATTCACATTATACAGTACTAAAGTAATTCATAGACCGTTTTCCATAATTCAAGTGTTCAGTGCATTACCCGCGATTCATTATTATATCGACCAAGCTGTTAACATATTTTATCCGCGCGAGACGTACCTACAATTCCAGATCAACTTAATTACATTTCGGAAATTTCCACGCTCAATGTCATATGAATACATACATACGTATCGAGTTTCAAAGCAGCGATTATTATATAAAGAACTATTTTAAGTTATATTTTATATATATATATATATATATATATATATACGTATACAATGTAGCGACATACTACATATTTATGCACGTAGTAATATTCATTATGCAAGAGAAAGATATGTCTCTGAAAAAGCTTTTATCTAATATGTTACCAAATAATAGAGTGTTTTTCATGCATTTTCTTCTGTAAGAAAAAATAAATTTAAAAAATGTACTGAAGCTAAATTATCAATAATAAGAATTCGGCACCGAATTTCCGTTACTATATTTTAAATTATTATTATTATTGTAAAACAGCTTTGAATGTACGAGTAAAATTTGCATTAGCAAAATTGCTATTGAGAAAAAAATAATTTTAAAAAATTCTGTTTGTGTGCACTATCATTGAAATTTATTAACTAATGTTTATCAAACAGAAAGTTACAGTCGAAGTTAAGATGTAGAAACCCTGTATATTTTTCCTGTTTTAAAGTAAATGTTTAGCTGTATAGTTAGTTACTTATTTCTTTAGTCAACAAGACTTTTATTTTTTTCTTTCACTTGTTTTAAAGACTATGCTGTCTCAACGAGAAGAAATGTAGATAGAAATAATAAACGAATGGAAACATTATGTAATATTAAAAATTTTTATATTTCGAACTACAAACATTTATTCTCTAATCAGAAGATAAATATAATAAAACTGTAAGAAATTAATAAATAAATCGTAATATATTTATTAAAATCGTTTAAAGTTAGCACTTATTACGTAAATTCAAGTCCATTTTATGCTACTCGTAGAATGCATGTTGCCCTTTTTTTTACAATTGAATCGATAAATGCTTTACAAAAAGTTTCGATCAGGTTATCTATGTTACGTTCTACTGCTGATCGTTAATCGACACTATGAATTTTTCAACGGATGTTACAAATCAACGTTAGAATGAAGCAGTTTCTATCAAATCGATCTCGACATCGCCTTTCTGCTGCGTAAGATTTTCACCTCAAACGCAAGCCTCGACAGCATTGAAAGACGAGCATGCACTTTTCTTGAAGCAATAAAGCCTCGATGTTGTTTTCAAGTTGCGCATCGATACCCAGGGCAAAAAGCTTCGGAGTAGCGTCTCAGGAGAAATTTAAACTCGGAATTGCGAAAGGAATTGAGCTTTCCTTTGACCAAACTCTCCGATGAATTGGCGCATGGCCGAGTGTACAGAACGTCCTGCTTAGTATCGTCTCATCAATCTCGGCATAATTTAATTTGCGAGTGTGTTCGTCCTCGTTAAAGCATGCGCGTTTAGAGCCTTTGATCGGTTGTAGAAATTAAATAACGAAAATAAATGAACTTATTACTGATTGACGTATACCAAATAATTCACAATTTGAAGAGTGAAAATATTCCACTTCTCCAAAAAGAGTGACAGTTTTCACTATATGGAGTAAAGTTTCACTCAAAAAGAATGACAATTGTCATTCTTTTTCAAGAAGTGAAATATTTTCATTTTTTCCCAAAAATTATATTTTAACTCTCTCGGAGTGAAATTTCACTCTAAGAAATTTAGAGGGTACTTTTATTCTTTTTGTGATTTTCTTCAAGACAAAGTAAACATGAGTATATCTCTAGAGAGCTTTTTTCCTTAGTTTATCGATTTTTTACGCGCTTTCGAAGTTTAGCTATTTAAATTCGGGACACTTTGTATGGTATATATAATCGCTATAATTTTTTATTTTATAATTTGCTGAGTATCAGCAATGTAGAAAGTTGTTCGTTTCGCACACCGAAATCGAACAGATAATTTTGTAGCGCGCAGTTGCGGTAGATTAAGCCTGAATACCTTCTACGCCGTACGGATCATTAATCAAACGCTTTTTGCGAGTCCATCCGACTGTTATACGCGGCTGCTGGTATAGGTGCGCGCGGATGGTGTAAAAATTTACAACACGCCGAGAATGGGCACCCCTTTTCTCGCCCGTTCACTACGGCGTTGCTTACGGCAATAATGGTGATATGTAATTTATTTTTTTTTGCTCGGGACTTGTCACCCGTCAGGGAAATCTTTGGTATGCATCTTATATAATCCCCGTCATAGTTGTCGTTGTTATCGACATCGTCGATGACGTGGTCGACGCAAAGGCCAAGTGGATGACGTTCTTCGTTTCCGTCGCACGCCCAAGATGAAGGGCGCAACGAGGGCGATGATAACATCTCTATGAGGATGCCTATGAATTTTTATCCGACCCGCCCGCGGCTAAGGGCTCACGAGAGAACGGAGAATTGCTGCGAATCCTTAAAAAAAAAGAACTTACCCGGCCGTGAAGATAAAAGTTATCGGAGGCATTGCACTATAACGAAGAAGTCTTCACGATTCCATCCGACCAACGAGAAGGGCTCGATCAAAGGGATGTTATCAAGAGGAAGGGACTTTCTTCATCATACAAGGAATCTTCTCGATAATGCCGAGGAGCTTTGTCATAAAATTGTCTTCAGATCTAATTTAAAATGACATAATTTTTGAACACAATTAAATGTAATTAAGATTAAACATGGAAATATATATGATTACTATTATTATTATTTTATTTCATTCCTTTTGCAAACTTTATATGTTTGGTTATACTAAACCTGTAATAATTTTATTGAAGATCAATAATGCAAAATGAATTTAATTACCTATATTTTGCTTTACTCGTTATATATATACTACAATAAATATTTTATTATAAATATTAACATTTAGTTTACATTTAAATTTAATTTACATTTAATTTTATATTATGTCAATATAAGCAAAATAAATCGTACATTTATATATTAATTATTATTATAATGAACACAGTAATTATTATCTATTTAGTAGGTATGATTTGGACATAATTAATGGTTTATCTCTTTCTTTTACCGTAATCATTTGTATTATTTATTATTTTTCATGATACTAAACATTACGATATAAAAGCATCTATGATTGATAATAGGAATATATTCTACAAACTGAAATATTCCGTTTAGGTTTTGCAAAAATTTTCACATATGCGAAATCGCTGTTTGTGGTACAATTCCGAATCATCACTACATCTCGACATATCGTGCGACGATAAGTCTTGGGAAGAAGTTTACGAAACATAAGTTCTCGTCCTTCGGGAGAAATGTATATTGATCTAGAAGCTATACAATATCCGAGGGTCAAATACATGGACTCCAAATTTTTCAATCTCCCCTTGGATTATGAGATTTCACTTTCCCGAATTTCTATTAAGTTATGGTAGTGTTCTATTTATCTTGTGTATCTAAAATTCATCACGCCTTTATGATTACCGCGGTATATTTTATCTTTCATGGAATGGTTAAAATCAAAAAAATTATAATGTATTAAATTATAATTTTCGTTATTTAACAATTCCATAAAACATGAAATATAACGAATAATAACAGAGTATGTTGATTATTTTAGGCAATCATAAAGGTGTCTATTTTCTTTTATTCTCAAAAATGTTAAATTTTACTTGTGAAATTTATCTACCAACGCAACAATATTATGTAGTCGTTGTTATTTTACAAGTAAAATATAATATATCTTTAGAAAGAAATATAGAGGTGATTTTTGAAGATATACTAAATGATTTTGTCTCGTCATGTTCAGAAATAAATGAATCGTTTTCTCAATTCATTTGCGTCAATTAAGAAATTTCTATGTTTGTAACGTAATCCTAATTACAGATTTATATTGCGCCATCCTACTTAAACTTTGAAAATATTTTCCGTGATGGGAAAATCTATTGGAAAATCGTCAAAGGGGTGCTAAAGCGTTAAAACTTAAATCCAAAGCCTGTGTTTGCTCACGAAATAATCCATTGGTCTATTACCAAGCGTGAATGATATCCTCGTCGACATGGAACCTCGCTTTTCCAGGAAATCGAATAACACTTCGAAAACTCTCG